CAGCGAAGTATGAGTTGAAGTGTCCGAAGCCTGCTATCTAGAATAAGAGATTGAGGTGCGGTGATATCGCGCTGGTACCTACCACGAATGGACTTGTTGAACTGCCACTTGTTGCGCTTTGGAAGCCATCAAACTTGGCCCCAAGTCCGTGAAACTCTGCCATGTTGAAGGGCTAAGACGGAAGTCTACTAATCCACGATTTGAGGGTAATAAGAAGAGTGATGAACTACGAGTCTACAGACAGACAACATGATGAATAAATAGATCAACAACACTTGGCGAATGTGCAATCAACCCCTACCAGTTCTTACTGCTCCGCCTCGCGAATGGTGAAAATTTTTACAGATTGCAGTTGGCTCCCTCAAAGGATTGAACAACATGTTCGCATCCAATATTGGCTGGTTCTGCGGTCCATGAAGGTGGCTGCAGTTGCCTCGTCTGAGCCGCCCTGACTGTTGTGCTGTGCTGGCAAGGCATACACGCAAATGCAGTATATATGATGGTGAAAACTCAGATAAGCCAACGAGAGGAAGAGAAAACTGTCTATCAAAGCAAGGTTCCTGTATCGTGATGTGAAAAACTTTTCAACAACGGGCGTCTGGGTGTAAGCATTGGTTTACAATGATTGGTGATGGGGGATTGCCTCATGCTGGGAAGTGCAGGAACAGCGCGGGGGATGAAGAAGGGGAGAAATAGGAGGAGCGGAGCGGATCGAGGAACAGGAACGGGAACGATTAATGGTGGATGGGTTAATCGGGCGAACCATTGCATTTTCTGGGGTACAGATTCTGCAACATGCACTCGTATGGATTAGGCAATGTTCAGTCTTTTGTGAAGCTCGAGTTGGTGTGCAAGTCGTATGACTGTAGATATTGTGTGTGATCTATCGACTTGTGAGACGCTGACATTTTGGGGGGCACTTGGCGACGTGGATCTTGGGAAGCTGGAGAAAACTGAGTTGGTTGATGTGAGGCTGGAAGTAACGTTGAGTCTCTTGATATCTGTGCGATAGTAGTAATGAGACAGAAAGACTCAAGCCGAGTTTCATTGTCCCGTAAGACTCCCACATCCCGCCTAAGGACCTACTATATGGTAGCGCTGAAATATGGGGTAACAAGTCTCAAGTTCACCCTGTCCAGCATGTCGGCGACATGAATGTAACACTTGGTACACCAAATGTTGTTGTGGCACGTCTGACGTTAAACGAGAATTCGGATTCGGATTCAGATTCAGATTTAGATGAGAAGATTCAGGGATGATTGTGACACGATCGCTGTAGTAAATACAAGACATTGTCGCCGATATATGAGTTGTCCGTCTATCCGTAGGTAGGGCAGAGAGATGATCCATATCAGGCACGCAAGGACCCTTTTTTCACTGCAACGGAAGCTGACGTTTCCGCTGCTGGTCAGTGACGCTAGTGTATGGAAGAACCGACATCCGAGAGCTTAGGCCATTCCAGATGGAATTTGATTCTGTTTCTGTTGTAATAGTTAACCTGTAGATGGCATCAAGAGTTGATGCCAGAACGCAACAAGATAAATAACAGAGTCGAGTACAAATATCCCAAGGCAATATCTCTAACCAATATCAAGTCAAGGATTCTTTTCTTTCTTTTTAACCAAGGTTGAAGTCAATCCAGTCGGTAACTTCAACTACCGACACTACAACACGATCTAGTCTGTTAGTTTGTTCGGTATTTACATTAGTAGAGCAAATCGATTGGCTACTCATCCTAATCAATTCCAATCATGATGATCTTCATCAACGGAAAAGGCGGGATAGACAATGCAAATCACCTTTTTATTTTATTTTAACCTCGATACAAGTGCCCGAGCGCGTCAAAACAACACAGCACCAAATCCTTCTTTGTCCAGGACTGGCCTAGAATGGAAGTCCTATGCGCGCTACTCAGACACCAGCGCCAAGCTAACAGCCGGAGCTGTCTCTTCCCGAGAGATGCTCACTTTGCAAAGGCCCAACCTGTTTCAGACAAACACAGTCCATCAATTTGGATAGTAAATCAAGTGACACGGACAGAGGATGAATGGTTCCTTTCAGACAGTAAAGTACAATATTAAGCCAGTTGGTGGAATAAACAAATGAAACGTACTCATTCCTTTGGACTTTCGTTTGAACCCCATCTTTGGCATCATCATATCAACACCTACAACCAAACATATACATATTATACACAACTCCCTCTCGGATTCGCTTCTATTACTTCTACATCTTGCATGTTTAGAACAAGTCTCGTTGAGCCTCTATCGATCCCTGATCAAGTTTCCATCCTCTGGTTGTGGAGTCGCCCTTCTGATACACGGCTGATACCAGTCACTTATAACACAATCGCATTTTCATATTCGCAAGTATCACCCGTAATTTGAAACCGAAAATTCGAAAAGAGAGAAGCGCCTTTTGATATCTATCGAAAACGTCTCTTTTATTTCCGATTCACTGTTCTCTGTTCCAAACAATCTCAAGTTCTTCATATTCACTATGCAGAACACCTCAAGTCTTCCCGCCTCACCCGTCGGTGTCAACGTCCAATATCCACAACTCGTTCTCGAAGGGAAGCGTACTGGCTACTACATCACATTTACTCTATTACTCATCACACTATGGTTGATACTACCAAAGAAGCAAAGATCTCAACTCGAGGTTCCCTTCTACAAGGCCTCCAAGAAGAACTGGATTTTTGATGCGGAAACATTAATTAAAGACAGCTACACAAAGGTTTGTCGCCCTATAATTGCTATTTGAAAATCGATATACTTACATACTGTCTAGTTTCGCGATCGAGTATATCAAATCAAGGCTACCGAGGGAGTACAAGTCTTGGTACCTGCAAGCCTAGTGGGTGAACTGAAGGGACTTCCTGAAGATGTCCTCAGTGCAACAGAAGCAGTATCAGACGTAAACCTCACTTACACCCACACGTGTTGGCATAGCATATTAACATATCAATAGGCTCTGCAAAGCAAGTACACAAAGTTCTCGCCAGGCCATAACGGCGAAACACTTGCGCTATTGATCCGAACAAAGTTGACTCAAAACCTCACCCGAGTTGTGCCACGTCTTCGACAAGAATTGGAGTACATACTGGCCACCGAGTTCCCTGCCTGCGAGGATTGGACGCCTGTGAAATGGCAACCCTTTAGTCTTCGTGCTATTACCCGCCTGAGTGGCAGAGCCTTCGTCGGCCCCTCCCTCAACCGGGACGAGAAGTGGATGGACACTACCATCAACTTTGCTGTTCACGTCTTTACCGCATGTGTCAAGCTCCAGTTCATCCCTGAGTGGGCTCGACCTGTTGGTCAATATTTCGTATCAGAGCTACGCCAGATTCGCAAGGATATCAAGATCGCCAAGGAACTGCTCGAGCCCATTCTCAAAGAGCGCTTGCAAAACATGGAACTCTCTAACGGCGAGGACGCACCTGATGATATGATTCAATGGCTTCTCGAAGCTTTGCCCGAGGACGAGAAATCCGATCTCACAACCCAGGCCGAGTTGCAGCTCATCATCGCGGCCGCATCTATCCACACCACAAACAACCTGCTCTGCGAATGTCTTTGTGACCTGGCAGCATACCCAGAAGTTCAAGAGGAACTACGCCAGGAAGCCTATCAAATTCTCGAAGTTGAGAAGGGTTGGGAGAAGAAAGAGAGCCTGGCCAAGTTGAAGAAGCTGGACAGTTTCATGAGAGAAGTCCAGCGTCTGAGCGGAAATATCAGTGAGTCTCTTCCTCAATTCTTAGTTCCACTTATCCATATCCACATAAGCTAACAAACATGCAGCATCTTTTATCCGCAAGGTCATGAAACCCATTTCTCTCTCCGACGGTACCCAGTTGCCCGCAGGCACAAAGGTACTCGCTCCCCAAGCCGGCATTGCTCTTGACGAGCGCTATTTCCCCGACCCTGAGCGTTTTGACGCTTTCCGGTTCTACAAGCTTCGCCAAGAGTCAAGTGAAGCCAACCACAGATGGCAATTCACCTCTCTTGACGACACATACACCAACTTTGGTGCGGGCAAACATGCATGCCCTGGACGCTTCTTTGCCAATAATGAGATGAAGCTTGTGTTGGCGCATCTGCTCATCAACTACGACATCCGTCTCAAGGCGGGTGAGGATAGACCAAAGCCAATGACTGTAGTCATGGCCAAGGCACCATCTCCAGATACCGAACTGGAGTTCCGACGAAGATCACTGGTAGCTTAAACAAGAATGATGAGCGCCAATACTTTGATACCCAGTATATTACCTTTTTAGTATATAAGCCAGTGGACACACAAAGATGTGTCACAATGTATAGTACATATAGAACACTAGCTTTAGAAATAGAAGCTACCCCCCTACAAGTCTTGAGTCGCCTCCATATAAGTCAACAGCATCACAACGACCAACATGTCAGATTAACGACTTGCATTACTCGAACTGTTCTAATCTAACAAAGACACAACACAGGGACTCCGAGCGTGGCTGTCGTGGGGGGTATCGTGAAGTCGTAGGCCAGGCCGATGAGAGCCACAAGCCTGACCTTATAGCATCGTACAATCCTCTCTGATCCCGTGCCATCTCTCTCCGACTGACCAACAAACAAACAAACTGGCGGCGCATCCAAATGACTGAGGAAAAGGAAGAGGTATAGCTGGTGAACTGACTGATCAAAATGGATCCGTAGTCTTTCCGAGAAAAAAACAAAATGGTGATTGAAGTCCTTGTTCTTTTTCAAGTGCCTTGTTTTGAGATGCGAAGGTCCAATAAAGGCTTTAAGATTCGGACAAACATTTGATATTTACAGATCCAACCAACCCAGAACGCCCCTCGCCGTTGTTGAAGAAAAGCCGTCAACCATTTTTTCCCTGATGCAGCAAGCTGAAGACAAATAAGTCCACCGGGAACCGTGAGATACCTGGGAAACCGCATGACAAAGCAGACCATCTCTTTCAATGTCCTTAAGCGAAATACACAGTAGTATGACTCCTTAAGCCATTTATTGCTTGTAGCGCAAGTACTCGCCGGCAACCAGACAATGGTCACGCTCGAAGGGTTCTGGGAACATGTTAGCTGAAACGCTTCATAATCATTGTCAAGGGAAGTAAACATACCCAGGGTAAGCTGGAACTTGGGCTTGATGGACTCAGCTCGCATCTTCTGGACCTCGGCAGCGAAGACCTCGGCAGCGGGAGCGGTACTGTCAATACAGTTGGCCTTGATGGAGATAAGGACACCACCTCCGACCTTGAGGAACCAGTTGGCGTTCATGGCGACGATACGGGCCTGATCGGGCTGGGCAACATCGGCAAAGATGACGTCGACCATGGGGACGATCATGCGGTAACGAGCAGGCTGACGGGCATCCTCAACAATGGGGACAACGTTGGGTCGCTTGGAAGCCATGGTGATGAGGTCACGACCGGATCGGGAAGAGAACTCGACGGCGTAGACGTAGCCGGTAGGTCCGACAATGTCGGCGACGTGAGAGACGGAAGTACCAGAGGCACCACCGAGGTAGAGGACACGAGAGCCAGGCTTGATGTAGATCTCATCAGCACCACCGGCAACGGCAGCACAAAGCTTGCTTCGGAAAGGGTTCCACATGCGGTACTCGACCTTGGTAGTGGTGGTAGTACCGTCTTCATTCGTGACCGATTCATCGACGCTGATCCTCTTTTCTCCGTAGACAGACTCGCCGGGGGTTGTGTTGCGGGTAGCAAGACCATCTTCCTTACCACCACGGACAACGAAGACACCGGGGTGACGGTGAGGCTCCTGTGTGAAGAAAAAAGTTAGATCGCAAAATTTCGCAAAGAAAAAAAAAGTTGACAGAGGGTTGACATACGACAATGACCTTGGCACCGCCCTTTGCGCCAGCAGCACCACCGCGACCGCCGCGAGCACCACCTTTTCATCTCGTTAGTATCTTGATCATCTAGTCTTTGAGAAGAGATGCTTACCTCGTCCACCGCGTCCGCCACGACCGCCTCGATCACCGAAACCGCCACGACCACCACCTTTGCGAAAAGTCAGTTATCGAGTTCATCAAGAGAGCGACAAGAATGCCGCGAAAGCGCATTTCATACCTCGTCCACCGCGCGCACCACCACGGCCACCGCCGAAGCCGCCGCGATCACCACCGAAACCACCACGGCCGCCTCCACGAGCGCCGCCACGACCTCCACGGGCACCACCTCGAGGAGTGAAAGGAGCCATCTTGTTCGATTAGAGAGGAATTGAGTGAAGTTGAAGATATTAGAGACGACGATAGATCGTTGTCGAGAAGTATTCCAAGCGCGAAAAGATAATCGAGTAAAGGCGGACGTGGATCAAAGTCCAAACTTGTCTGTTGTATAGCCTTTCCTGGGGGACGCTGGGCGTTCTGGGAGACTTTGAGAAAGAATTTTTTGAAGCTCTATGAAGCTAAGTCCCACTTAGTTTATGCAAGTTTCTCCGACTCCGAGATGGGTCCGGGGATAACGCGGCTAGTATGGGTTTGATGCATGCGTCTCGCACGTGATGATAGAGGATAAGAGTCAGGTGATATCACTGATATGGCAGTACGATCGCTGTAATGCGAAACCACATCACAACGACCATTAAAACTGGTTAAAAATGTCTATCATCTTGTTTTAACTAATTCTAACTTCTCTCCAGTTTATCTCGAATTTCTGCGAATTATTTCCGACCTGTGACGCTGATTTTCGCCTTTCGCACAAACAGGGCAGTCAAACCCTAAGGCCTCTTTCCCAAAGGAGTGGGGAAAGCGAGTTTGTGGTCCCTCCGACCTGTTAGGGCAAGAGCTTCAGAATTTCTCAATTTCAGCCCGCCAACCCACGTCCCGTCGTCGAAACCGTCACTCACCACCCAAGTCGCCGAGATGGTGAGTAAATACGCCCCCGTCGATCGCCATGATGATAAAGAGGAGGATATGCTGTTGCACGAATTATCGGGAATTTGCTGGTGCAAGTTTTCGACGAGATACGTCAACTTTGGCATGATCGAAATCGATGCGTCGTGGTGATGGGCTCAATTTCGAAAATGTGCCCTGGCTGACTGGCTTTTTTCCCACTCTTACAGGTTCGATACGCTGCCACCGAGATCCAGCCCGCGAAGTCGGCCCGCGCCCGCGGTGCCTACCTCCGAGTGTCCTTCAAGAACACCCGCGAGACCGCCCAGGCCATCAACGGCTGGAAGCTTCAGCGCGCTGTTACCTTCCTCGAGAACGTCAAGGAGCACAAGGAGGCCGTCCCCATGCGACGATACGCCGGCAGCACTGGCCGCACCGCCCAAGGTACGACACTAGCGAGAATCTTCACCTGTTAGCGATGGACTTTAGAGAAATCCGGAGGATCGCAGACGAGTGGGAAAGAAAACGTCATGGGGAACAAAATACTGATGGACTTCATCAATAGGCAAGCAGTTCGGTGTCTCCAAGGCTCGATGGCCCACCAAGTCCGCCGAGTTCCTTCTCGGTCTCCTCAAGAACGCTGAGGCCAACGCTGATGCCAAGGGTCTCGACACCGGTGCCCTCGTTGTCAAGCACATCCAGGTCAACCAGGCCCCTAAGCAGCGACGAAGGACATACCGTGCTCACGGTCGTGTATGTTTTCCAATCCATCCGACTCCTAGACTTATCTAACATAGTTCCCAGATCAACCCTTACATGTCCAACCCCTGCCACATCGAGCTCATCCTGACCGAGGCTGAGGAGGTTGTCCAGAAGTCCGATGCTGTTGCTGAGCGTGAGCACCTTAGCTCGCGCCAGCGTGGTGCCCGCCTCCGCAAGGCTATCACCTCTGCTTAAGCCAATCAACAACCTTCTTCTCAAATAGACAAAATTTAAGCGCTGGTTGAAAACTGGGTTTACGTCGGGCATCTTCTGTGTTGTAGCTGTGACTCTTGACAAGTCTCTTGAACAAAGAGACACAAACACCAAGATTACAAACAAAACTCGATCAATTGTTCTAGGGTTTTTGCGAGGGTGGTTCGTGGCTTTTCATCTCCTGGTGTATGGCAGGCTACGGTAAGCATGGCATTAAAGGGAAACGCATGCAAAAATTCGCAAGGTTTCTTGACGAAATAAAATCTTTCAAGTCCTCCCAAGTCTCCTACTACCTGTGATCCCGGCAATGATGTGACGTAGTTGCTTTACATCAACTATCCAAACATTCGTATCATTTAGTCTGAAATGAAATCTAGGATTCGACATGGGTGTCTGGCTGCATCATAGGTAGTCAAGAATCATCGTAGCAGTAGAATTTTCATAACTCTGGCAGAAACATAGATAACCTAATCGCTGTTGGCTTTTTTTTTCTTTGTTATGTAGAGTTTGTAGTCAGTATCAGACTTTGGAAACTGTGAAAAACCACCAAATGTACAGTTTGTACTGTGCGTAAATACTAAACAATTTTCCTGTCCTGAACGAAGCAATATACCGCCGAATCCTACGCTCTTCTGAGCAAGGTACATAGCACTATCATCCTGTGGTAGGACATCCCATCCGTCTAGTCCTGTTGTGCCCAAATATCATAAGTCATGCCCGTTTCACGATCCAAAAACAAGTAGCAAACGCCCTTTTCCGTCCTTTACAATGTCCATGCGTCATCAATCAAATATGGAAGTCATGCGACACCTGCCTCGTTTTAAAAGTGAGTGACCACCGCAGCCTCGTCATCTCTGACTTCTACACTGCTGGCAGCATCGCATCGATTGTGCCTGAAAAGCGCCCTCTTCCAGGGCTCTCAACGCCATCGCCAATAGCATCAGAAATTGTGCGTTGATCGTAGATGTTTTCCCACCCCATATCCAGACCAAAGGCATCGGTGAGTTGAAATGACTCCTGGGATCGTATGAAAGGTGCAATGCGACCTAGGAGCCTGTCACGGCATTTCATCATCAGAGGTCCCAGATTCGCGCTATGAGGGTTTCCATTACCAGCGAGACCTTGAGTACCAAAGGGTAAAATGCTCCTGGTATTTATATCCGCCATGTCGACTGACACATAACCACATGATTTGAATGAAAGACACTTCAGAGTGTACTTCTTCGCATCAGAACGTAGGCGATGTGATGATGGTATGTGTTGACCCATTGGATCTGGCTGGTTGAATATTATTTGATCAGCCGAACTAGAACCAGTCTCATCTCTGGCGGCCAAGATGTCCTGGATTTTAACACTGGGGGAGAAGTGTTCTATGATGCCTGCCCATGAAAGTTGTTCAGGCTGCTGCAAGGTTTCTGATGGTGTACCTGCCGGGTCCTGTGGCGCGTTGTTGCCTTGCATCTGGTTTTGATACATCTGGAACATCTGGGCCATTGGTGGCGGCGGAGGAGGAGGCCCATGGGTATTTGCCGTAGGGTGAGGGTGTACCTGGGCCGGCAAAGCGAAGAAGCCCAGTATATGAGCAGCATTTATATTCAGATGCCCATGAAGAGGAGCTTGTGGAGTGAGAGTTGGGGGGCCAGAAATTGACACAGATTCCAGGTCAAGTTTCTCGAGTGTAGAGAGAGCCATGTTGCGTATTGTCTGAAGGAAGACGTGAGGTGAAGCCCAACAATTCTTCAAGGACAAATGCTTAACAAAAGGTAGGACCAGGATATCATTTTGATGAGTTCTGGGGCTATCAACCCGTGTCATGAGCTCAGGGTCTTCAAAGAAAGGAGCTGGAAGAATGTAATGGTTTCGCTGGAACGTCGAGGGCGCAAACTCCCCACCACAAATCCATTCGAAGTGAAGGCTTTCGATGTTGGTCTGGGCGCCGATATAGTTGTTGAGTAGCTGGTACACCTTCCTGACAGCATCGACAGGAGATAGTGGAATGTCTTCAACACATCCAGGGGCAGTTTTAGAGACACGTCGCCAGTCTGCGATAACGCCCAATGAGACATTGTTGAGAGAAGGTAGATTTTGCCAAAGATCGTGACGACTGAAGATGTACACGTGGCTGCTGGGGATTTTGGCAATCGTGAGTGTTGTCAAATTCATGAAGCTGTCAGCTCGAGCATTGTCGATTAGACCAATCACATAGGACTGTATCATAGCCCGGTGGGCCCATTCAAGCTCTAGAAGCATTTCCTTTTGTGCTCTGGTCAGACTCGAAGGAATGAGTGCATGACTTGCCATTTCTGAAACGACAGGTTCGAAGTCGGCACGGTTGCTCAACAACAATGGCATTCGAGATTCTGAATCATTAAGCAGGGAGGCCCTCTCGTCAAAGTCAATGGTGTTGAGATCAGTGCCTTCTGTGTCGAGTATCATGCGCACAGCATCGTTAATTTGATCGTCTCGATAGCCAGCATCAGACACCATCTTTTGCAATACGGTTTGCTTGAAACTCATGGGGTTTTCAAAGACAGGCTTCTTGAGATCTTTGACTAGTTCGTGGAAATCCGATAGGCTGACGATGGTCGGCTTCTTCTGTTGAAGTTCAGAGTTGGTGATACGCCAATTCTGGGTTGCAAACACAGGGTCAATAGTAGTAGCGGCAGCGTTGCGTGCTATATGATCCGGTCCCAATAGAAATCCAAGACCAGCATCACAGCAGATTCCAAGATTTGAGACCTTGACCAAGCATTTAAGTGCCTCTTTCATGGCCTCAGTTTCATCAGCAGTCTGCTCAAGGCCCTCAAGGTCGGTATACCGGTGATATGTGTCATGGGGCCAGCGGTATATACCCCAGAAAGATGGCACAGCTTCCTGTGAAGGTTTGACTGGGGGGTATGAGAGAGTATCTTCATCAAGCTCCAACGAGAGCGCAAAGCGTCGAATGTGCGGGCCAAAGGATTGGAAGATACGCATTCCATTAGATAGGAGAGCGGAAGAAGTGCGTTTGAGGGCGCCGTTCTCATCACGATCTAATTTACTATAAAGCTCGGATTTGAAAGGCACCACAACGTTCCGAAAATATTGCGCAGAGACCTTGGCCTCAAATTCCTTGCAAACGAGTCGCAAGCATCTAACTTCGAGACGTGCAAGGTGTGAGATTATGATCTCGAAGATTTCAACTGGCACTTGGTTTGCAGGCCACTGGACAGAAAATGTATGAATAGTCCCATCGTGGGAATCTGATTGCTCGGCAATTGCGGATGTCTCGTCGTCACAAGATGGAGGAGCAGTGCTTGGTCTCGCCTGATTCGATTCCGAATCGTTGCTACCAACATCTTGTCTGGAATGAGTAGCCATCTTTGAGCAATTAAGTTTGGTGATAGAACTGAGTGACGTATTCATAAGAATGTTCCTGGCTAAGATTATAACGAATGCGCGTGGCTGGTTGCAAACATTCGGTCGGAAGGAATTTGGAGATATCGTTACTCGACTGGCGGGGCGTAGCGGGGATACGAATGCGACAGTGTAACGGTTGTTATGTTGGTGTAAGCAATGAAGCTCTTGTAGATACGAAAGGTTCAATAGGCAGAGAAATGGGCTGAGGTGGATGAAGAGTTTATAAGAAAACGATCTGGTTGAGGAATACTGAATGAATGAGCTACAGGCAGCTGAACAAACGGGCTGAATCGGAGGAGTTCATTCAGTGGCGAAGACGTGAAGGAAGCTGAGGATCCAAGAAAGGCAGGGTTCTTGTTTCCCGGTAGTTGGTAACAAGATTAGCTGTAGATGGAACTTATGCCATGTTCCATTGGGTAACGGGCATATGCTAATTGCCTGATTGCGGTTCCGAAGGGAGAAAATAATAAGTTGAAGATTGAGATGGATGGCATGTTTAAGCTCAGGACTCAAAGACGTGGGGAAAAGCAGTGCTACTAGTAGAACATGTCCACGACCCCTGTAGGTCTGGGTAGGTGATTGCCGCCGGTCAGGTTCCGGTGCTGCAGGAGTAGCGAGGTACCCGTCTGACGGTTGAGAGACAACTGAAATCCTTGTACTAGCAATCACTCCACAACGGCACCAAGAGCAAACGTCAGTGCTCAAGGGTAACTTTAGACTAAGGGTCTAGAGTTTGTATCGGTTTGGCAGTAAAGAGATACTGTTTGCTTAATAAAGTGAGAATTGTTTTTTGTCTTTGTTTCTTCCTCATGACTTGTATTCTTTTTAAAAGTAACACAGGGGGGGGGGGTTGAAACTGACTCTCACCGTCTCTACTATATGGCTTGTTTCCTCAGACTTCATTCTTCCAGGGACCAGACCCCCTCATGAGATATCACACTGCATCAAGGTAAGCTATCTAAAATAACAAGAAACAGAAATCCAACCCTAACATGCAGAACACTCAAAATCATGACAAGGTGGCTAATAATGTTTCAGTGCCATGCCAGGTTTACTACACCGAGTTCCTGACAACCGGACATGATTGAGTCACGGAGAAGGCCGGGAGCTGAACAATGGCTGAACATGCATGACACCATCTACTGTATGCAACCGTGAAACGGCATCCAGGTATATCCAGTTGTTTGTTTTCCATTTTGTACACATCTTATTCGTTCACGGACATAGGTAAACCGGTCAAAAGAAGCTCAAGTCACAAGTTGAATTATTGACCTCCATTACGCTACCATCAGGGGATATTATCAAGACAAAAACAAGACTATCTACATGTATAAGAAAAAGAATAATTTCATGCGCGAATCAATACCAAATCCTAAAGTCTTCCTAATAAGTTCAAGCCTCGTCATCAATTTTGCCAGCCCAGAACCAGTATCTAATATCCGTGTTAGTCATTCAGCAATACACCATTTGCAAAAGAGAGCAACTTACAGTGTTGCGTATTCAACCTCGAATTCAGAAGCCATGCCCTTGCATGTAGCAGGAGCGCTGCCACCAGCTGTGGTAGTTCGGTACACCTCCTTAATGTCGTGAGTCGCACCCTCAACGGTGAAAAGTCGGAGCCAGGGAACAGCAGCCTCGCCAAGCTGACCCTTTGCCGAGAGTGATGGCGCAGGAGCGCTGCTGTTCTTAGCACAGGGTGCCTCTCCAATCTCTTGCTCTGGTGTGCGGAGGTCGAAGAAGGGGACACCGTCGGCAGTGAAGTAGTGGTGACCAGACTCGGGTAGAGAGGCAGGGCCCAGCTTCTCAGCAGCTGTCAAGGGGAAGTGAACAGCCATTCCGGGGATACGCTCGACAAGATCAGGGTACAAAGCAGCGGCGCAACTGGCGTTGAAGAGAGTGGCCACAGCACCGGTAGCGACGGGGGCTGATGAAGGATCCTTGGTGTCGCATGTGTAGTTTTGTGTACCACGACCGACAGCAACATGCTTAAGGTAAAGTCCCTTGGAAGGAGGAAGCAGTTGACCATCTTGTCATATGTTAGTATTTGGGGAGACTGTAGCAGGAGTGATGTGACATACCAAGAGCCATCTTGGCTTGTGAGAGATCACAGACGGGAGCCATGTCGTATGCCTTGGCAGCCTTGACCTTTTCCGCAACAAGGTTGAAGTAACCGGACAATGATCCTAATGTGTCGATGGCAGATCGAGTATCGGTAACGGTAGGCTTAGGGAAGCTAGGTGCTGCAGAAGCAGTCACCGCTAAGACGGATACGACGAATGTTGATAATTGCATCTTGAAGTGGTGTATATGTGTGTTTTGATATGATTTCGAAGGTGTATAGCGTATCGATATCGTTTCAGTCGTTTGTCGTTACGTAGAAATATAACCCCAAGAAACAAGAGAAGCGTTTGTAGATGATGGAACAAAAAACAAGACTTGAGATAGAGATAGATGACCTAGGAAATAAGGAAATATGAGATATAAGGAAATAAAGAAATACAAGAAAAAAGGAAAAGAAGAACGCTCAGCGTCTTTCGATGTGTAACAGATGCAGAGAGATAGATCTTTTCCTGCCTCTTTCTTTTCTCTTCTCTTTTTTCTGTTGGATGAACACCATCTCTTATTATACCAACCTTCCCCTCTAGCCAAGGCCCTGTTACACGCGCCTGAGCGTATGGGCGGCAAGGATGAACAAATGACCATGATTGGATCATACGCCAAGATCTGTATGTAAAAATAAAACACTGGCCCTTATTTCCCACGTTGAAGATGCAGCTTGGCTCATATGTGATGATCATTCAACGAGATCCAATCATTAGGTTTCCGTATGTAGTCGCTAGGGTTATTATTGGCCGAATGGTAGTAGTTTAAGCGCCTGTCTCGGGCGACGGCATATGGATCCACGGGCGTTAAGAGATTATTAGGTCTAGAATGGAGACATGGGAATGACACGATAATGATAATTCCGGTTTCTATCCATTTGCCATGCGGTATAACATGCAGATGATGTGAGAGATCTTGTTTGTTGGTTTGCTTTTGAGATCTATGATGAACTTAGTATTAAAGCTTTGGCCAAGTCTTACTTTCTGAGGCTGATCCTGTGGCTTTAGTTCATGAAGTGCATTTTACTTCATGTCAGCACTTGAACATTAATTAATGCACCTCAACGTCTTTCCCCTCTCTTCAATATACCAAAAAAAAAAAAAAGATCAATATCACAGGAACCCTAGTACGGTCACACTCCAACCTCTTCACAATTCCACCCATTCTCAACACAACCAGGGTCCCTTGATAATATATTCCAAGATCTCTCGGCGCCACTTGTGAACCAACCTCAGTCCAGTATCAAAACATTCAAGACCTTGCAAGAAACGAGAAACAAAGGTCCTCGGACATAGTAAATTGCATACAGGGTACTGATAGATTTGCTTTCCATGTATGAAACTCTGATTGGTCCGCGGGCCATGCTTGTCGACGGGCCGCGATAAGCGGCCAGCGGCTGCAGAAAATAGCAACGGAGCCCCGCGCAACGTCGAACAAACAAAAGAACCCCTCTTCTATTAATTGGGACGGGCTATTTTCGCTTTCGTTTCCATCATTGACCTGCATCTCTAGTGGGACGAAAGGGTTGTCACATGTCTGGTTTATTTCTTGTTGAAGAGGTTGCTTAGGTGGATCATATTATGCTCTAATCCCATAATTACCTATACTGGGCACACATATCATCCGCGAATGCCACCATCACTAGACCACCATTTATTCATCTTGGCATCTCGCTAACATTTATGCCAGATCTTACTTGCTTGACTCCCAAATGCATATAACAAGTTCCCATATATCCAATTACTCCACTACCGAGCCGCTTATAGTGCAGACTTATACTGATTGATACTGATACAGTCCCGTCTCTTGCGGATATTCGTTGACTCATTCCTTTTCGAGCTCTTGACCAAAACACTCCCAAAACAGGACAGCGCGTCGCCCTCTACTTGGCGGGATCTTTAGGCGCTCCGTCCATTGGACTGCCAAGTGAGCCCCCGGCCACTCCAGCTGCCGCTGCCGCTGCAGACTCAAGGTGGGTTACCCGCTGGACATCCGACGAACTCATCCAGTACAAGGACATGAAGACCAGCAAATGAAGTGCCACGCAGTATGCCGCGAACAGGTTCCGACTGGTCCTCGAAGCAAGTACTGTACGAGTTAGCGAGTATACTGCCCGTTCTGGTAGACTCATCCGCTTGTAGGCTCGAGCAGATTCCCGCCCGCGGAAAGCTGCGAATGGAGAAATATTGGACTCATATGCCTGGCGGTATCGATCCATGGCGATTCCGGGGTTTCCTGTTTCACCAATCGACACCGTCGACGGGTTAGGGTTTGCACCATATGCGGACGATGTTGCCGCACCACCACCTCGGTTATATGTTGAGACGTATCTTGTCTTTTCATACAGGTTCAGGTTATCCTTCTGTAGTGCTGCGACCTCCTGGCGCAGCTGTGATACTGTCCGGTGTGTGTTGGACAACTCCTCTTCCAATTCACCGTTCTTCTTCTTGTAACGGTCGCGCTGAGCCGTGACCATTGGTAGCATGCCCGAGCCACCTCCGTAGACTCGCTCGCCAGGTTCGCCTCCTCCCATTCGAGGATCCATACCACTGATGATTGATGATGTTGGCGAAATTCTGCCACTCTTACGTCCAACTGCCCGCGTGACATATGTTCCAGCAACAGATGCTCCCGACGGGAATGCGTTAGCTCCCTCTTCCTGGATTGTCTCCAAATCGCTCTCCAGCTTTTGGTTGAGCTTCTGAGAACGCTCCAATTCTGCGTTTGTTCTTGAGAGTTCTTCTTGAAGATCCTCGAGACGGCTCTGTAAGTCGTTGTGTGAAACGCGCAGAACCGTCAACTCATCGCCGAGCTTCTTGTTGCGTGCCAAGAGAAGTTTCTCCAGAGAGTTGCCCTCCGCATCCTTCGACTCGAGATGCTCTCGCACCTCATCGTCGTCACCTGTAGAGAACTCGATGCTCTTTAGAACCTCGAGCTCTTGTTTTATCTCGTCATAATCGCCCCACTTTTGTACTTTGTTCTTCAATGTGTCCCTCTCTTCCTTTAGAGCGTTCACCTCTCGCTCAATAGATCGTAGTTTACCGTCCAACTCTCGCTTGAGGCCTTCTTTTTCCACACGAGCAGCGTCCAGCTTGCGGATCATTGACTGGTTTTCTGACCTCACGCGCATGTAACCGGGATCGTCTTCAAGGTTTGTTTCAGGTTGCTGCTGGGCTGATGATTTAGCCTGTGCGAGTTCCAGACGCATCTGCTCGTTACGGGCTTCAATCTCAGCGAGGCGAGCACTCGTGCGATCCAAGTCAGCGTGAAGCATCTCAAGTTCGGCACTGGAGACTTGGTTGCGCTGAGCCTCCTGTTCATCACTATTCTTGCCCAATCGCTGGTTGACTTCGTAGCTTGCACGCATCTCACTCAACAGGCGCTCTTGCTTCTCAAGCTTGTCCTCTAGGGCCTTCTCCTTGGCCTCCCAATTATCCGTCTTCTCATCTAGGACAGCGGTCCATGATGTCTCCACTTCCTTGACACGTTTCTCGAGGTTCTCTTCCAGATCTTTTCGGGATTTTCGCTCACTCTGCAGCTTCGATTCGACATCCTCCAACTGGGTGGTAAGAGTTGTAACATTCTCTTGTAGGTGCTTATTTTCCTCCGTTATCTTCGGTAAAGTATCCTCGGCGAGGAGCATCGAGTCGACCGAGGCCTCAAGGAGTGGGTACGGGTCTGGCGCATCGGAGAAAGAAGCATATGTCTGGAGGAAGGCCGAGTTGACAGACTTGGAATGGTTCGTGAGAAGATCGATGAAGGTCTGATAAGCTGCAGTATAGTTAGCATGCTGAAGGATCAATATATTGCGCTACCCCTACATTTTAATAAACCCTTGATTTCTGACAATTTAGAAGTATCGTCGAGCTTACGGAACTCCTTTGTCTTTTGTGCCAGTTCTTTACGTTGAACAGTTGAGTCACGTTGGTAGGCGACAATGTCCGAAGCTGTGTTATCTAGATTCGAGACAAGAGTTGTGAGATCGATTGCTATGTAAAGTTAGTGTCTAGCCGTCGTAGATTTTTGCTGGTAGCCGTACTCCTCCATGCTGAGATCGCATGTTGAAATTTGTTCTCTCCGTCAAAGGTTGGCGCAGGCGCAGAGGGCTCGATCGTGGACGCCAGAGCGGCTTCAACGGCTGCGTCGCTCATTGTAGTGGTATTGGGTTGTAGATCTTAGGCGGCGCAAAAGAGTGTGTATAGCAGCCTGGGACGCCGCGAGCGTATCGAAGTGAATGTTTCGTAGTTGGTGCAGTTAGTGAGGTCGTCGATACGACTTGTCGTTGCCGTGGTCAAATTGAAGCCATGAGAGAATGTGAAGGGATGCGTATCTTGGGGCCAGTTTGCGTGGGCTAATTGGCTACGTAAGCTGTCAGGCTGTTGACGCCAGGGATGCAGGGGCAAGTCCTTGGACTGATCCCCCGCAGCCTTGCAGTTCAGTGAAGCACAGCCACTAACCAAACATGTTACAGCAGGTACGTAGGCGCTGTACCCACTCAAGGTCGCATCAGCTTCCAGAGCTTCAGATCCGATGCATCCACTTATTTCGGTCTACTGATGTCAACATAGCCTACCTGCGCCAGCCCATTCCAAAGCGTATACGGTCCACGATATATGAAAGCATATCAGTACTTGCGCTGCTCGCTCAGATGATGCTGTTGATAATTACGCCGCTATGACACCAGATGGCTCAGGCGATGGGCCTTCAATTATCAGCCCTGAGCTGACAGGCCGCGAGGTTGGCCCTTATGTTCTGCGGACATTGTTGGATGAAGTACCACTCTCTGCGGATGGTTCCCAAGACGATATCAAGATCAACTGTGTAGACTACTTAGGTAGGTCTCTGACCAATAGTCAAAATGTTTGTACCTGTCGTTGACCTATGAGCGTTTAGATGCGAACTTATATGTTGGCACATCCGCTTCAGAGCTGCTTCATTTTGTCCAGATTCCTCCCGACCCGAACGATCGATCCGGCCAACCCGTTTACATCCTTGCGTCCCGACTATGTCCTCAGTATGTCGAGACAACAGGAACTCCGAATTCGCGACCCGGTGTACAACAAATCTTACTACTGCCGCGCGTGGGAAAAGCATGTATCCTGTGTAACTGGACTGTCACTTTCTACTCTCTACCAGAGCTCAGCCCTGTCTTTGGCACGACGCTGGTCAAGAATTGTAGTTGGATAGGT